GGTCGCGCCGGGGAATCCGGGCGGGCAGAGAAGGAGGGGTGGAGTGACAGCCCCAGAGCTGCCGGCCGGGAGAGGACTGCGTGCCCCCGCTGGTTCTCGAACCGCAAGCCGGGCTCGTTCCTCGTGGTGCTGAGCAGGGTAACGAGGACCCTCCCGAGGGGATTCTAGGTCTTCGGAGCGGAAGGGACTTTAATAGCAATACTAACAATAAATAGGTCGCATTTACCGGGTGCTTAGAAATGCCAGGCTCTAAGTGTTCTAAGCGTATGATCCCATTTAGTACTACGTACTCTCTGTGGAGTCATTACCACTGTATTTACAGAAAGAGCAGATAACAGTATTGCTTTGGTAACTTGCCAAAAGATAAAGAGTGGAGGAAGAGCCAGCAGTCAGACCCTGACAGCCCCTGCTCTTCACTTGGACATTGGTCTGGAAGGTCTCCCTCAATACAGGAGGGAAGTGAAAACCCAGGAACAGGAGACTCGCAGGCACTGGACCTTTGTAAGGACAGGGAGCCTTGACGACAACAGAGCTGAGTCCAGGGGACCCCCTCGGGTCAGTGTTCACCAGACTGTCCCTGCGGCTGCCATGGGATATGATCTTAGGTTAAAAATATTTATAGTTTAATCTATTAATGAGTCACCCGCAAAGTATTGTGTTATGTAGAAATTAGCCTTCTTTTGATATGTGAATAGCCAGTTAAGGTCTTAGACGTTTTCAGTCATTAGTAAAAGAACCTGTAACCTTTCTTCCTTTCTCTTTTCTCTCCCTCTAGGGCTTTACTTTTAGCGGAATCTGTCGTGTGACCTGCCTCTATGGCCAGGTGCAGGTGCTGGGTTTTGCCATCAGCCAAGGCCAGCCTGCCCAGGATGTCTTCTCGACCTACACCCACTCTCGCCTGACTATCAATGCAGTCCATTATTCAGTGCCTGAGAAGAGCAAAGAGATGAAAAGGGAAGCCCGGGCTCTTCTCAGATCTCATCTTAGCCGAGGTAATGAGAAGAACTGGGGGACCCAATGAGGATGTGTTCTAACGAGGCTGGTCATTTGTAGGTGCTGACTGTGGCCTAGACCTTGCACTCTACTGCATCGATTTAAATCCTCACCAGGGTCCTCAGAGCGAAACTATTGTTCTCACCATTTTACAGATTAGAAAAGTTGCCTAAGGCCACACAACTTTTATGTAGCAAACCTTGATTGACTTCTGCACCTAGGTGTGTTCCTGTTATGCAGTACAACCCCTGAAAAAGGATTTGAAACATAATTCCTACTCTCAAAAAATTTGCTGTTTAGCAGAGGAGAAGGTAGTGCTAACGGGCATAGAGTTTAAAGGAGTTGTATGTCTAAGGTAGTTTATATTTGTCTTTACAGATGACAGACGTTGTTTGATGAAGAATTTTTCTCCTCTGTGTTCCATTATCATGCTGGAACGTCTGAGAACCTCCACTGTGAACTTCATAACCAGCCATCCAGGTTTATCTTACATTTTCGTACAAGAGGTAGAACCAGTTTTCGTTCAGCATTTTGCTAATTAATTTCACCAAAGCAGTCATATCATATGACTATGTAGGATGCTCCCTTGGAAGATCAGTCTGTCTGTCATGTTGTGCTGTAAGTCTGCAGAACGTAATACATGTGTATAGTTAAAAAAAAATAGTATGGAAGGATATATTGTGACTATTGTGTCTTCTACCCATCCCCCCTCCTTAGTTTCATCCCCCAGAGAAAGGCATCCTTTTCTATTGTAGTGGTTAAATGCCTTTTGGCTTTTTTGTTTTGTTTTGGGGGGTAGGTAATTAGGTTATTTATTAATTTTTTTAATGAAGGTACTGGGGATTGAACCCAGGACCTTGTGCATGCTAAGCACACACACTACCACTGAGCTATACCCTCCCCATTTTGGCATTTTTTTTTAATGGTTATCTTTATGTCTTGATATACTAACTTGAGACAGAGTAAATTTTTTCTAAACTCTGAATTTCAGTGTACTTAACACCTTCTCCCATCTCTCTCTTTCCTCATCTCTGAGTTTTTGCTGCCCATGTTGTTAATTTCCTGAAGTCAACTCTGTTACTATGATTGTCTCCCATGAGCCAGTAAATTGAGTGTAAACTACGGGAACATCAGACTGGATGTGAGGTGTGAGGAAGGGTGGAGGAATGACACCAGGCTCTTTGGCCTAATCACCTGGGTGCATGGAGTTGCCATGAACTGAGATAGGGCTGCTGCGGGAGGAGATTTGGGTCCGTTCACTTTAAGGTGCCTGTTGGACATTCCGTTGGAGATGTCAAGTGGGCAGCTGAATTTGTGAGTCGGGAGTTCCGAGGAGTTGGGAGTGTAAATTTGGGAGCTTTCAACAGAAGAGTGTTCCAAAGCCCATGAAATGGGGTAATAGCATGAAGGGAGTTGCTGCAGGTAGAAATGAGGAGGTTCGAGGTCTGAGCCCCGAGGCACTCCCAAGAAGAGATCTAGATGAAGGAGCAGCAAAGAGACTGAGAAGGAGGGGGCGTACTGATGTTGGAGGAAACCAGACCAGTGTGATCAGGAAGCCTTGCAAGGAAGTGGAAGTGTCAGATGCTGCTGAGGGTGACCTGAGGCCTGAGAAAGGAACTCCAGGTGTGGACTCATGATCTGGACAAGGGTGGTTTCATTGGATTGCTGAGTGGGAAAGCCTGGTTGGAGTGGGATGAACAGCTGGGGAATACAGGAATGCAAGGGTTTAGTCGTAAGGAATTTGAGCTGTTATAGAGTTCGGCTGTAAAGGGAAGAAAGAAATGAAACAGTCGTTGGAGGAGTAAGTGTGATCAGGAGAGTTTTGTTTTTGTTAAGGTGGATGAAAAAAACGCATAATTGAATACAGCCACAGGAGAGACTGCTGGTGTTGCAGTGGAGAGGGGGTGGCTGGAGCAGTGTCAGTGACTGGGCCTCAAGGGCGGGGTCCCCGTGTCTGCCTGAGGAGCAGAGGCAGTTCAGAGTGGCCGGAGGAAATGCCCTGCACAGGGCCGGCGTGCGTTACAAGTTCTCTTCTGTTTCCTCTTACTCTGTGAAGTGAGTCAGGGTTATCACTGAGTGGAGGCCTAGGTAGTGGGTGGGTGTTGGAGGTTTGAAATGAACGGAGAAGATATGAAACAAGGGTGGGACAGTGAGGGGACTGCTGTGGTCACATATATTTAATCTCGTGCAGAGTCCAGTGGCTTGATCAAGGCTGTAGAGAAGGGAATGGAAACTCTGCGTTACCTAGAGAATGTTCCAGATGCCACAATCAAAAACATTCTTTTTTCATTTATTTTCAGCTTTTCTTTTCCTGCAACTTACTCAACCATCACTGTTCATTTTTTTTATGGTCTTTCTTGGGTAGCTTCCCTCTCCCCACTTAGGTGTTGATACGTTCTTGAGTTGTATTTTCATATAAGACAGACAGTAAACTTAAGATTGTCTCATTTTAAAGATGATTTATTTTGCCCTCAGTGATTGATAGCTGAGCAGAGTGTGGAATTAATAGGTTCAAAAGAGGTTTTCCTCAAAACCTCAAAGAACTTGCTCCATTGTTTAACAGAGCCCAGGGTTGGGCTAGGAATCCTCACGCCAGGCTGATTCTTGCTCCTTGTGTGACATCTTTATCGTCATGGTAGAGGAACTGCAGGAAGATGTGGTCATGGTTGGGTCTCTTCCTTGATCCTCCGTCATGCCATCTGAAGCCCGCACTTGCTTCTGCCCGGGCCCCGCTCTTCCATTCCTGGGGCTTCCTGGTACTTCTGCTAGAACGCCATTGGACGTCACCACTCTGTCTTCCACGTCCATTCAACTCATTGTGTTTTTCTTGATGCTCTTGGGGATTGTCTTGACTTATTCCAAATCATCAACCTGTTCTACAGCTGTGGTCTTCGGTGAATTTTTCTTGTGACAATCACTTTTAAATTTCCGTCCATTTTCTTTTTCTCCGGAGTCTCCTGCACAGGTGATGGCAGCTTGGAAGGAAGTGTGAGCTATGAAAATAGAGACATGGATGACTTTAGGAAGATAGTTGACAGGACTTATTGAAGGGTTGGATGTGGAGGGTGAGACGAAAGGAGATCACATTGATCTTTTGTGGCTCACAGCTGTATGGGGCTTACTGTTTAGAATGGAAGAAAGAAAGGTGCATCTGTGCTCACTTGTTCTCAAAGCTTACCTTGTTATTTGCAGATTCCGACTTTCCAGATTAACTCGGAATATTTTGCCTTGAGGTCTGTGGGCATTAGAAGAGATAAAAAGAAAAGCGGCCTTCGTGTAACAGAGAGCGCCTTTTCGGTCATGGAGGAGTTAGTCAGCGTCTCTTGCGGTGAGTAGTACACGCTGATGAAGCCCAGTGCTTACCCAGCAAAGCCCCAGAGGATTGCTGTTAATGGTTAGAGTCTAAAGGAGATGGCTGATTTTGGGGTCGCTGTTTGTTTCACCTCCAGAAGAAGCAGACGGCTGCCCTGTCATTCTGGTCTGTGGCTCTCAAGACGTTGGAAAGTCAACATTTATTAGATACCTGATTAACCAGTTGTTAAACAGGTAAATGTTTTTATTCTTGTTTTGACATGTTACGAGTTTTGGCAGAAGGTAGGATTTTTATTTGAGAAGCTAGGTAGGAACACATGTTGACTTCTGAGTGGAGATTATGGACAGTTATGCCCAAAGCCACTCAGCTGGCGGGTGGCAGTCTCGGTTATACTGTGTTTTGAGGTGAAGGGGTGATGCTTTCAGGTGTACCCACCATGCCTGTCTGTGAGCTCCGCAGAGTCGTTCTTTGGTCTCAGAATCTGTTTGTCCAAATCCAGAGATTCAGAGTAGGGATAAATTCTGTTGTACTTAACAGGTAAAATTTTAGGAAAGACAAAGTTCTATCCATGTAATGAGTGGATACTGTGGCCATGCCGGTCACATTTTCTCTTTACTGTTCTTCTTTTTTATGTTGGTTTGGGGCATTCTACCTAAAAGGCTGCATACAATGGATTATTCCTGTGTATCATGTAAAATCTTTACGATCTGAAATCTGATTTATCCTTTGGATGTAGTAAAAGCTAGTTAAGAGTTTCTTTCTTTCTTTTAAATTTTCAGTATATCCTGCGTGGACTATTTGGAGTGTGATCTGGGACAGACAGAATTTACCCCTCCAGGTTGCATTTCTTTACTTAATATTACAGAACCAGTCCTAGGTATGTATCACATATTTCTTATATGTCTTGGGTTTCTAAAATGCAAAAGTAATGATACTTCCAAAAAACTCAAGGAATACAAAAATATAAAATGCAAACAATGAACATTCTTTACTACCTCACCGATCTTCCCGTGACTGTTCCTCTAGCCTCAAAAGACACCCAGAAACCTCAGTGATACCTTACTAAAATGGAACTACCATCCATCGTGTTTCATAAATTGAAAACACACTTTCCTCTAAGATTAGCCTCTTATGTAACCCTACACAATGACCTAAACCAAGAAATTGACTTGATATAATACTGTTAACTAATCTATATTTTATTCGGAATTCACCAGATGTCCTACTAATATCCTTTTTATGGTTCAGAATCCAAATCAGAATCCCACACTGCTTTTTTTTAATAAGAAAATATACATAACATGCTATTTATCATTTTAACCATTCATATGTGTACAATTCAGTGGCATTGAATACGGTCGCAGTGGTGTATAACCACTGTCTCTCTCCAGACCCTTTTCATTATCCCAAACTGAAATGCTATACTCATCAAACAGTAATGCCCCCTCCTGCCCTCCCTCTAGCCCCACGGAGCCTCTAACCTGCTTTCTGTCCCTATGAATTCGCCTGCTCTAGGTACCTCGTATAAATGAAATCATATAATATTTGTTTGTCTGTATCAGGCTTTTTTCGCTACACATAAAGGTTTTTAAAGTCTGTTCATATTGTAGTATATTATACATCAAAGTTTAATTCCTTCTTATGTTATATCCATGAAGTTACCAAATCCGGTGTCATAAAGATTTTCTGTACTGTTTTCTTCTAGCAATTTCGTAAGTTTTAGGCCTAACATTTTGGTCTTTGATCCATTTTGAGTTAATTTGTGTGTATAATACAAGGAAAGGGTCCAGCATGTGGATGTCCAGCTCTCCAGTATCCATCTGTTGTCCTGTCCCCATTGAATGGTCTTGGCAGTCTTGCTGAAAATCGTTTGACCATATAGGCAAGATTGTTGGGTTTTTTTTTCTGGGATCTTT